CCAAATCAGGTGAACGGTGTAGGAATTTCAACAGTTTGCATATGTGCCTCCAACTTGTTAAGGGACCAAAAGTAATGGGACAGAATAATAATCATAAATCAAACTTTCACTTTTTAATACTTGGTTGCAAATCCTTTGCAGTCAATTACAGCCTGAAGTCTGGAACGCATAGACATCACCAGACGCTGGGTTTCATCCCTGGTGATGCTCTGCCAGGCCTCTACTGCAACTGTCTTCAGTTCCTGCTTGTTCTTGGGGCATTTTCCCTTCAGTTTTGTCTTCAGCAAGTGAAATGCATGCTCAATCGGATTCAGGTCAGGTGATTGACTTGGCCATTGCAGAACATTCCACTTCTTTCCCTTAAAAAACTCTTTGGTTACTTTTGCAGTATGCTTTGGGTCATTGTCCATCTGCACTGTGAAGCGGCGTCCAACGAGTTGTGAAGCATTTGGCTGAATATGAGCAGATAATATTGCCCGAAACACTTCACAATTCATCCTGCTGCTTTTGTCAACAGTCACATCATCAATAAATACAAGAGAAGCAGTTCCATTGGCAGCCATACATGCCCACACCATGACACTACCACCACCATGCTTCACTGATGAGGTGGTATGCTTAGGATCATGAGCAGTTCCTTTCCTTCTCCATACTCTTCTCTTCCCATCACTCTGGTACAAGTTGATCTTGGTCTCCTCTGTCCATAGGATGTTGTTCCAGAACTGTGAAGGCTTTTTTAGATGCCGTTTGGCAAACTCTAATCTGGCCTTCCTGTTTTTGAGGCTCACCAATGGTTTACATCTTGTGGTGAACCCTCTGTATTCACTCTGGTGAAGTCTTCTCTTGATTGTTGACTTTGACACACATACACCTACCTCCTGGAGAGTGTTCTTGATCTGGCCAACTGTTGTGAAGGGTGCTTTCTTCACCAGGGAAAGAATTCTTCAGTCATCCACCACAGTTGTTTTCCGTGGTCTTCCGGGTCTTTTGGTGTTGCTGAGCTCACCGGTGCGTTCCTTCTTTTTAAGAATGTTCCAAACAGTTGTTTTGGCCACGCCTAATATTTTTGCTATCTCTCTGATGGGTTTGTTTTGTTTTTTCAGCCTAATGATGGCTTGCTTCACTGATAGTGACAGCTCTTTGGATCTCATCTTTGGAGTTGACAGCAACAGATTCCAAATGTAAATAGCACACTTGAAATGAACTCTGGACCTTTTATCTGCTCATTGTAATTGGGATAATGAGGGAATAACACACACCTGGCCATGGAACAGCTGAGAAGCCAATTGTCCCATTACTTTTGGTCCCTTAACAAGTGGGAGGCACAAATGAAAACTTGTAATTCCTACACCGTTCACCTGATTTGGATGTAAATACCCTCAAATTAAAGCTGACAGTCTGCAGTTAAAGCACATATTGTATGTTTCATTTCAAATCCATTGTGTTGGTGTATAGAGCCAAAAATGCTAGAATTGTGTCCATGTCCCAATATTTATGGACCTGACTGTATATGTCACTTGGTCTGTTAACAGTCTGGTCACTCTGTTCACTGTTGCTCCATTCAGTTCTTTCTCTAGATTTAAAAAAATTGATGAGAAGTGGCCAGACATGGAAGCCTTAAATGAAAAAGTCAACTGTTGCTGCAGGCAAGTATTTTGCTTGCACATGATTGGATTAATGAAGTCAGCAAAGCTACACCTCATTCTATAAATTTTGGTCAAATTCCCTTGCAAATCGGGGCATCCTTTTTGAAGTGAACAGTCTATTTGCCTTTAGTAAATCAACCCCAGAATGTGTGCAGAATGGCGGTCATTCACTGTTTTTGAAGTGAACAGTCTATTTGCCTTTAGTAAATCAACCCCAGAATGTGTGAATGGCGGTCATTCACTGTTTTTTCACAGGTGACAGAATCCTGCCTCCTTTCTATTGCCGCATCACTGCTAATGTCATAGGATTTAATCTAAACATCTACTATGTTTAATTGCATAGTATAATAATGATGCTAAAGAGCACACACCATAAGATACTACAGCCCGGTTAAGAAGCCAAATATATTGAAGTCACAAGAGCATGCAATCTTTCTCACACTGCACTGTAATGCTCAGTTCCTGAATGACTTAGTCAGGCCTGTACATGTCAAGTGGTCAAATGTTATATTAACTCCTTCACGCCTAAGGGTGAAACAGATCCTAACGTCTAAGCACAATTTTGCAACTTTGACATGTGTTAATAAAACCGTACATATCACCACAACTACTTTGTGCATCCAGGTGAATTAAACCTTGTTTTTTTCAGGACAAATTGGGCTTTCATATGGTGGTGAATGGTAAATGATATCTACTTTTATTATCAAAGGAAAACTAGCCCAAAAGAGTAAAAAAAAAACAAAAACACATTTTTAAATTTAGCTTTATATTTCTTGTTGCTACCATAACCTACGTCCAAAGAACAACCCAAAATAAATTCACCTGCTGCTGGTGATACCACATATGTGTATGTTATTTGTTGTTTGTACCCGTAGTACAGCCCAAAAACAATAGTGCACATTTTTGCTTTTTATTTTTCCTACCTAAAACACACTGACACAAATTTAAAAATAAAATCCTGCCCTAAATATACTGACCCTGATCTTTGACCTTTACTTGACCCAAACACTAACCCTGGCACTGACCTAGATCAAACCTTGATCTAGGTATTTTTTCTTTATTTTTAACATTTATTAATTTATTTTACAACTGTTTTTTTTTTCTCTGAAAGGAGAGAGAAAAAGATACAATGTACCCCTCTCCTCCATTCAGAGAGAGAAAACACAGGAGCGGGTTTCACAGTGACTGATCACTGTGATAGCCTCTGATTGGCCAGTCTCTGTGCTGGGAGGCGCATGGTGCAAATCAAGATACACAAATATGCTTCCCTACGGCATAAAGCCCTAAAGCTCAGTGCTGTGAGGCCGCATATTTGTGTGAGGTCGACAACATGGAGTTAAACCTTTTGCCAGTATCCTGATGCCTCTGTGACTTCCTATGTGTGACCATACAAGAGAAACCAAACTAAACTACCACTCAACTGAAAAAAGATAATTTCCTGTACAGCACACAAACATGAATAACAGCACCTTTTTCTTCAGTGGGAACTTGGGGGTATGCAGCTTGGGCTTCTTCAGCACTGGATGCATGTAATGGCAAGGGGTGTTGGAGGGTCTATTAATGCGGTTGTTGGTGGATCCATTGTCCCTGGGAGAGATTTATTGTTGCAGGGGCAGTCTATTGTTGCTAAGGAGGTCTATTGTTGCTAGTGGGACCTTATGTTGCTGGGGGGGTCAATTGTTTGTGAGAGGGATCTACTGTTGAGGGAGGGATCTGTTGTTTCTAGATACTGGAGGATCTACTGATTCTGGTTGCAGGGAGAAATTTTGTTGCTGGTTGGGGTCTATTGTTTATGGCGTAGATCTATTATTGCTGGGGGATATATTTTTGCTAGAAGGGTTTAGTGTTGCTGGATGCTAGGGATCTCTTTTCTTCTGCTTTTCTTGTTATCATTAACAAACTCAATACAAATTGCTTGCACCACAAAATTATGTCTGGTTCTGTATTCTTTAAAAAGGGTTGTGACGATTGCGGCGTCAGACCCCAGCCCTTCTCACCAAACTCGTGACCGAAGGACTAGCCAATCTAAAACCGCGCTGTCACGTGCGTAACAATGCCACGCCCAGCTGCACCCTGCACAAAGATTTTCCAGCTAATGGACCACAATCTGTGTACTTGCAGCCTGGGAGCAATTGTTACTTGGTCAGGTTAATTACGCAATTAACCCTTCACACTGCCACCACCTCCTTTTTCTACAGAGAAAGAGGAAACTCGGCAATATTAGCAATAACACTATGATGGTTGAATAATCGTCTGTATACCACTGTCACTGCAGGCAGGATATATAGAGGTTTAAACACACAGTAGCGCTCTTCAGAGATAGGGGATCTTAGTTTGCATTAAAGAGCTTTAGAAACAGTTCAACACTTTCAGAAAGTAAGATTTATTACTAAAAGGTCAAAAGGGTGCAATAAAAAATATTTACAGAAAAAGATGTAGCCAATATATATATATAAATATACAGAGAGCAATAACACAGCAAAGAGATAACAGAAAGAAATTTAGGGAGGTCAAGTACTTGCCAAACGTCCTGGTTTAAGCAGATCAAGTTTCAGAGCAGAAGGGTGCCTTATCTCCCGAAGTTGGTTCCTGATGTTAAAAGATAGATTTCTTCAACTTAGCTCAACTCAGCTTTGCTTAGCTCCACTCAGCTTAGCTTAGCTCCAAGCATAACAATATTTTTCTAGGAACTCAACAGGGTGTCTCCTTACAACAGAGAACCAATCGCCTCATTTGGGGAGGGGTGTTGTAGGCGGGGAGCTCAGGCTATGACCAAATCCCTCCCAAATTATACTATGCTCAATAACGTTTCCTAGGTACATGTAACATTCTATCCACGGGTAAATTAATACTCAGAATCATCTGCTGTACGTCTAGATATGAAATATGACATACCTGTGGGGATGGTTAAGGAGATATAATTTTCTGCTCTCCTGTAGATGTCAGATAGGGGATGCAATATATCAGACGACTTGTATTAAAGTCACCGGTCTGAATATATGCCTGGTTTTTAGGTACGTCTTTCATAGTCCAAGATATGAAATCATAGGGGGAAAGTGGATTTTTGAATGTGATGTCTGCTTTATGGCTTATCTGGAATGTGTTGAAGCTCAGTGAGGGACTTGGTTTATGGCTTTACGATATCCCAGATTGAGAAGTTAACAGACATCTAGGCACCAGCTCGGTTGGGATTTTATAGCCCTGGAGCTCTCCCGCTGAGTCTGACTGCCTGTGACCTCAGTCTCATCCAGACCTCATGCCACTCAACAGAAAGGGAGGGGGGATGAGGGAAGAGTGAGAGAGAGGGATACAAGATGGAGGGTTTGGAGCAAAATGGATGATCGTGTCCATCTCTGTGTGCACGATTGCTACAGGGGTGGCATTGGGTGTTGCATAGGGATGGAACCAGTGTACAGTGCTCGGAGGTGGGTAGGGGCCAGGGGCGGACTGACAACTCATGGGGCCCCCGGGCAATAGTGGATCATGGGGCCCGTGTCCTTGCCCAAACTCAAAAAAGCCTATGAAAAAGGTACCAGGGGCATCTCATGGGGCCCCCTACTAACCCCGGGCCTTCGGGCAGTGCCCGAGTTTCCAAATGGTCAGTCCGCCCCTGGTAGGGGCAGAGACAAAGGTTGACTTTGAATGGGGGAGTAGCTGCAACTATTCTCTATGAAAGAAATCCCTGAACAGCACACATACATAACTGCAATCCTATATACAACCTATTGAAAATATGTGTGCAAGTTGATACTAATAAGCTAACTATAAACAAAACATCAAATAGTGGGGCAAAGCAAATGGGACCTTTAGGGTCAGGTTGATACACAACAGATGCAGGCACCCAAGCAGAGTGCTGAGGCAAAGTGAGTGAGGTAAGTTTGCCTTTGATCCCATCTATGGCTTGTGTTACCATAGCATCATTTTCAGACCACGCAACTGCTTTTAATGATTTAATTATGATGATCACATGCTTGGGCCTCATAGTGGCTTGTTCATAATATACATGTTCCTTTTCATTTCTGTTTATAGACATTAATTTCCTTAATGGTTTTTGAGTGTGACATATGTTTAATGCATGTGACAGACTGGAACACGCAGAGATACCATAGAGACTACTGACTAAAGAATTTTCCTATTTTCTAAGTAAAGATTGTCCTCTTTTTACAAGACATTTCATCCAAAATAGTCTTGACAAGTAATAAGTAGTGATTATAGATCTGATTGATTTTTTTTTTCAGAACAGCATGCAATCATCATTATTTAATTCAAAGAAAATAAACAAACATTTAATTTGCAGTGGAGTTATACTAGATTACAGGGAACAAACAATGAAGATATTGTGAGTATACAGATTAATGAAATAGCTTGAGCAGAAAAGCTCATAAGAAATACTCCATGTAAATGGAAAAAAAAACTGCAGCAGTCATATAAAATACATAAATGTGAGTGTGGGTGTATATCTATCTATCTATCTATCTATATATATATATATATATATATATATATATATATATATATATATATATATATATATATGTATATATGAAACAGAGTAGGAAGGCTATAATGGAACAAACCTGAAAGGACTAATGGTGCAATTTAACATGACTTTTCATTAGCGCAGCGTTTGATTGATTTTTTAATTAACAATAATGTGCTGAATAGCATTTGAAGTTATTGAAATCTGGCTTAGAAGCACTAATAAGGGCTTTTGAATAATTCAGCCTAGTGACTTTAAAAGGGTGAGGTCAAAGTAGCCATATCAATGATGTGCTTTTACAGTGATAGCGAAAGCATGGGGAGTACTGCAGACAAACTGCATAGGGAGAGATTTGTATAGGGCCCGTAGGCACTTGCAGATCTGTTAAGGTAGATATAAACTCTTAATATGTATTTATTAAATAAATAAAATAATAAATAACAGGTTGCATGTTTATTTTCACAGAGCTTTTTCGTTAATTGTTGCTGGCTGCAATTGTGTTTTTCTCACAGGCCTTTTTTTAAATGGTGACAACAGTGGAATGTGATTGGGCAATGTGCATCAGCACAGAAGCTTTCTTGGTTTGGTATAAAGGCAGGAGACTGGGGGGAGACAGGTGCAGAGCTCTGTCATCCCATAACACAAAGTGCCTAAGCAAGGACTTTTAAATCAAAATCACCAGCTAGTACTTTTATTAGCGCTTGCAATCGAAAATAAAAGTAAGCTATCCAGTGACATTATCATATTAAAGCATAGAACAATACAAAGGAGATAGAGCGCACAACTGCCCTAGTGTGATATTGTTTTATTAGGACAACAATATAAATCCTTCTTAAAATTCACTCACATTTCCCAACCGGGTATAAAGCATATCGTGTGCTCAATGCTGGCTTTCTGCGTAATCCCTGTAAGATCCAAAATGACAGATCATATAGGATCTTACAGGGATCACACAGAAGGCCAGCATTGGGCACATGATATTCTGTATACCTGGTTGGGAAATGTGAGTGCATTTTAAGAAGGTTTTAAATTGTTGTCTTAATAAAACGATTTTACACTAGGGCGGTGTAACGTAGATGTGGGATTCAAGTGATTGGACTGAGATGTGATCAGTAGCAATATGTAATTGTAAATTTAGTTTCATTCCTTGTTGTTAGGGAGGTGTTCAGTCATGGGTGTTCAGAGACATGTGCTCATCCATTAGCATCTGAAAAGACAGAGCAGCTTCCAGCCTGGAAGTGACACCTAAGTGCCAATAAGATTTGTATATATATATATATATATATATATATATATATATATATATATATATATATTCAGGCTCTGCCACCTTCCTGAAGTTTAAAAGAGGAACGCAGACGTTTCAGCTTCATGACACCGGGGGGGCTCCGATCTGTCTGGGAGCTACAAATTATATCAGTAGATCAAAGGAATATGTTTCATCTCTCATAAAAGCTAAAATATATTAGTTGCAGAGAGATGAAAATACTTTCTTCTGATTGGACACTCTGTAGGCTACATCTGCATGTAAAACCGTATTTGTGGCCTATGTGGGGTCCCAGAGAAAGGCAGAAAATGATTATATTGCGCCTGATGGCGACAGTTGAACAGTGATTGGTACTGTCGCGATTGGACTGATGCGCTGGTGTCGGAAATTCAATCCCTGACTTGGTGATTCAAACTGTTCCTGGTCCAATCGACTTTGGGCATTTCAGGACCCAGAGTGTCCTGTGGGCTGGTACTGGAACACCCCCCAGAGTCAATTGGCCAAGGACTATTGTCCAGCCCATGTCCATATTCCCATAAATTGAGGACCCTGGGGTATGGACGTGGTGATTTGTATGGAGCCCATTCTATTTGACTGACGGATTGCGGACTTTCTCTGACTTGCTCCAGTCGCAGGAGAAATCTTGGTAAAAGTTTATTTCTGTTTTATTTCCCTTTTATTTTATAGTCAATAGCCAATTGTGTGTCTTCTTGCATTTTTTGTATTTTCTGTAACCTTTTATACTTTGTACATATTTTATGCACTGCCCACTTTTGGGATATTAAATCTTATAATTAATAAGTGACTTCTGGGTACTTAAGTTCGGGCTCATATCTCCGGAGAGATTAGATTGTATTGTATTTTAGTGTCTTTATATGCTCGGTCAAGTTCATTGCCAATCTGTATGCAATTGCACTGTGTGTTGGCAGATTGCGTGCAGATTGTAAGGGTGACAGGTCTGCCAGACGGAGATCTGTGTGTGTGTGTGGTGTCCCAGCAGACCGTTCTGTGGATAAACTGTTGGGTGGTGGCAAGTTACCGTTTGTGGTGTGTCTGGTGTGGGGTTGTGTGGACAGTGGAAGAGTGATTAACACCAGGGTTCTAGCTTGGAGGATAGCTGGAAACATTTTTATTCAAAATAGATCTTGCAACCAGCATACAATTTTATACAAAAGTAAAAAAATACACAAAATAAATAACATAAGCCATCATACTGGTAATAAACAAAATAGAAACTGGATACCTCTCCAGGGCACAATGCAGTAAATAACAGAAACACAAAAACTGTTCTTTATGACTGTAGCATAAAGGCATATAATTTTAAAACCTATAAAGGCCGGCCTACTTGCAAAAACAAAACTGGCCTACATGGCCTATTATTTTAAAAGGAAAAAAGGTATCTAAAAAAAAAAGAAAACAATATACTAAGGCCTTAACAGCCTTGTAAATTACTCACATCTTCACGCCCTTACGGAATAAATTAACCCCCTTTCAGGGGAAATCACACTTATTCAAGTGTATAGGCCTTTTGGGCCCACCAGAATTCTCAACACCGCACCCCTTATAAGGGGGAATCACACTCAAAAATATCAGCCTATACGGCTCTAATACACACGAAAACCAAATATGTTATCCAACAAAGGCTAAGAAACCTAGACCTTCAGGTATCCGTGACCATTCTCAAAAAGAAACCTTCAAACAAAATCTAAGGGGGGTGAAAGGAGAGGAGAAAAGCAGGACAGCAACCACACCAAGAGATCAACAGACTGCCGCTACAAGCCTGATATTCCTCCACACCTCTATCCAGACCCTTCGCTGCAGTCTGTCTTTCTCAAGACCCCGAATTTTCCCAACCTCACCAAGGATGTCACGCACCACCACCTGAACAGGAAGTACCTTCTGCCGCAAGGAGACCTGACACCGTGCATTCCAGGTGTAGTAACGGACAACTAGACAAACTAGAAACAGTGTATTCAAATCAAAGCCAGCATGACTTTCCAATGCCCGATACACCCACTCTGCATAAGAAATGCAGTGCAGGAAGGGGATGCCTAGAGCCCTTCCCACCTCTTTATACACCTCTACATTGAAGGGACATCGAAGTAAGACGTGGTCCATACTCTCCACTTCACCCCCACACTCCGTCCTCAGACAACCACGGTCATCCAAAGGACGGTACTTCAGATTTCCCCTCACATAGAGCCTGCCGTGGAACACAAGTCAGGCCTGGTCCCTAAATTTTAAGGGAATCCTCTCCATATTTAATAAACGCAGGCCCTCCCTCATAATATGGCTTGGGTAATCCTTCAAGGCCAGTGGCGCATGAAACGCAGAGGCCACGATCCTCTCCCTCAGCAGTCTCCCAGGGAGCGACCTGACCTCCTCCACAGTCACACACCACCCCCTAAGAATCTTCAAGCACGGGGTGACATAAGCCAGGAGCTTACCGTGCTTGACCCATAAGCTTTTCACTGGCCTGCCTCTCTCCCAGCAGCTCAGAAAAGGTCTAAACCAGATTTGAAAAAGGCCTACCCTTGTTCTCTTTTAGCATACTACCAATGTTATGTTTTATAAACATCAAAGAGAAGAAAACAATCGGGTTGACCATACCTAGGCCACCCCCCCCACCTGGATTGGTAAGTCATATCCCGCTTTACAAGGTTAAGTCTGTTCCCCCATAACAGCTGGAAGAAACAACTGTAAACTCTCATATAGAGATACTCTGGCAAGAGACAGATTAAACTAATGTACAAGGAAATGGGGACCAAGTAAGTTTTAATTAGGTCAGTCCTTTCCCTTAGGGACAACCGCCATCCCTTCCAGCTTCTCACTTTACCATCAGCATCTGACAACCTGGATTCCCAATT